CTGATATAACATGTCCAAAGCATATGAGATAAAGTCTTGTCATCCTTGCGTCTAAGGAGCATTCTGACTGTACTTCTTCCAAGACAGATTTGCTCATTCTTCTGGTCATCCATCGTACATTCAATATTCTTTGACAACACCATGATTCAAATGCATCAATGCTTCAGTCTTCCTTATTTACTGTCGTTTTCCTGTACCTATGACATCATTGAACATACCACGCCTTCAGTTAGGCGCACTGTGTCCTCAAAGTGGTATCTTTGGTTTTTAGCGCTGTAAGATGTCTTTTGCAGTAGTCACCCAAATCAATACATTGTTTGATTCCTTGACTGCTGCTTCCATGTATTGATTGTGGATCCAAGTAAAATAATCCTTAATGACTTCAATATTTTTTATCAATTATGTTGCTTATTGGTCCATTTTTGAGAATTTTTGTGTTCTTGAAGTTTAATCCATATTGAAGACTACAGTCTTTGACCTTCATCAGTAAATACTTCAAGCTTTCAATCCCGATGCTGCCTTCTTCATGCAGTCTAGTTTCTTATTTGCTTAGCATATAGATTGAATCAGTATGGTGGAAGCATACAACCCTGACGCACACTTTTCCTAACTTTAAATCACACAGGATCCCTTATTCTGTTTGAATAACTCCTTGATCTCTGTGCAGGTTTCACATGAGCAGAATTACTCTGGGACTCCCCTTATTTTCAATGTTATCAATGATTCATTATAATCCAGTCAAATGCCTCTGCATAGTCAGTAAAAAGACATAGGTAATCATCTTTCTGATATTCTGATTTTAGCCAAATGGCTATGCCTCCTTAAATGAATACTGATAGAGATTAAAACCTGCCACTTTAAAAAGTGGCACAAGATGTCTTTAGATTATTACCTTGCGGTACACTTCTCCATCCTTTCCTAGTTTATAAAACCTACTGGTAGCGTAGTGGTTACGAATCGGGCTGCAAACCTTAAGGTCAGCGGTTCGAAATTACCAGCCGCTCCGCGGGAGAAAGATGAGGCTTTCTACTCCCGTAAGGATTTACACCCTCAGAAATCCTGTACAGGGTCGCTATGGGTCGGAACCGACTCAACAGCACTTAACAACAACTGAGTTGTTCAACAGTGTGCTCATGTGGAACATATACATAGGCTTGAATAGAACAAAGGAACACCAAGTGGTTTAAAATTAGAAAAGATATGCACCAGGGTTGTTAATCTTTCACCATACTTATTCAGTCTGTATGTTGAGCAAGTAATTTGAGAGGCTGGATTATCTCAAGAAAAATGTGACATCAGGATTGGAGGATGACTCATGAACAACCTGCAGTATGTAGATGATACAATCTTGCTTGCTGAAAGCTGAGGACTTAAAAATATTTACTGATGATCTAATACCACCACAGCCTTTGGGTTGCATCTTAAAGAAAACAAGTATTACCTTCATTCAATCACAATAAAAACTTAAAGAACTTCACCACTGGACCAATAAACATCCATGTAAATGGAAAAAGATTTAATTTGCCAAAGACTTCATTTTGTTTAGATCAACCATCAACACTCATGAAAGCAGCAGGCAAGAAGTCAAAGGACATAATGCATTGGGCAAATCTGCTGCACAAGGCTTCCTTAAAAATGTTCAAGAGCAAAGATGTCAGTTTGAGGACGAAGGTGTGCTTGATCAAGCCACAGTATTTACTGTGTCTGCATGTCAAAGTTGGACAGTTAGACTGTAGAACTGATACATTTGAGCTGCAGTGTTGGTGAATATAAAGTACCATGGACTGCCAAAAGAATCAACCAGTCTGTGCTGAAGTACAGCAGGAATGCTCCTCAGATGCCAGGATGACCAGGCTCTATTCTATTATTAAGAGGGATTGTTCCTGAAGGATACGTTTGGAAAAGAGAGAGACCCCCACAACAAGATGGATTAGCACAGTGGCAACAGCAATGGGCTCCAGCTTAGCAAGATTTGTGATGTTGGCACGTGACTGGGCAGTGTTTATTCTGTTGTGCACAGGGTGGGGAGTTGATGGCATTTAGCAACTAGTCAAAGATGTATTATATTTTGTTCAGCGTCTCATACTGAAATTCCACGTATTTCAAAACAAATGTAAACCCCAATCCAGTAGCCTGTTTTTATGGCAATACATTTTGAACTGATTTAGAAAAACACTGCATTGCTTTTGCTCAAAAAGTTGAGACCACAGATTACCAAAGTAGTAGTATGTTCAAATAATCTGGTGTTACTTAAAATTTAAGACACGACATTCTGCAGACAAGTCTTTTCTCCATACTGTTACACAATTGTACTAGGTTAGAAAGTTTAACCAATTATTGTTTATAAAATAACACTTAATTTTGCTTAAGGCTAAAATTTTTTCATGATACACATATACACACCTCATATAAAAATTGAGACTTCCAAGGTTTGCACTAAATTATTTTTCTAACTTTTCCCACCCTCTTCATGTATCTGTATGTATTCTTGAATCACCTTTTTAATAGGCAACTTATCCTATGGTTGCTGTTCTACCAAAGCTTGGTGATCATAGGTATTGGAAACTGTTCAGATGTTATTTATTTTGTAATAGCAAAGGATCCATCACTACTATGAAAATAAGCACTGGAATAAAATAACCCAAGTCCTTGCTTATCTCTTTGTACCCAGTCCTAATCTTACATAGCTGTGAAGACTGAAATGTTATTATAGTCCCATTTCAACCACCACTATTAGATTTGTTAAAATGCATAACAAAACTGAGTTTGAAATCAACTGAGGTAGCTTATTTAATATACAGGTTTGAGTTTCTGGATGTCAGTGTAGTTTTTCATAACAATCATAACGTTGAACCATGGATATAAAAATCTGGCTCAAATCCAAACCACATGGAATGCAAAATGGAAAGCGGGGGCAACAATTCCCATCTTCCAAAACAAACCTGATTGATCACTTTTTCACATGAGGAAGATCTCCTGTAATGTCGTAACTCACCTACACAAAAATGTACATTAACATTTAAAATCTCTTTCCCACTGCTACTGCCTGCACATAAAGTGTAGGCAACTCAACTCATGCACTGTCTACAGGGAGAAGAAAAAAAAATAAATAAAACAATGCACCAATAAAACACCTTGTTTCAGAGTTTGCTGATGGTTATGATAGAATACTAGCCAAATGTACCTGACATTTTCATACTCCCTCTGCTAAAATCCTTGGTTTCTAGCTTCACTCTTGGTATTCTATGAGTAGACCTGTGCCTATCTGGAGATTCTGCCAAGATACTATTTATTAACTGCCCCGTGTGATTGGCTAATGCTTTTTGTAGCAGATCACTGGATCAACTTTAGTGGAGTAGAAACCATGCGACTAGAGAAGCCTTAAAACAGAATATACCTGCAAAAATAGGGAACAGAATGACAGTGTGGCTGGTTATTCATAAAGGTCCTTTTATCCCTCAGGACTAATGCTTCCTATGAAATAAACTGCCTTAAATATTGCTTAATATTACATTTTTTTCTTTTACAGACCTATTTAGTACCTGACACAGAAATCACAATAAGGAAGCATTTATTTGAGGTTTAACATGAAATCATACAAATAAAATTTGTATAAACACAAATCCACATTGAGTCAAAACACAGATAGCAAAGGACAAAGTAAAAACAAAGAAAACTAAGTGGCGGCTATATACAGTTGGACACAATTGTGTCTTGTACACTAATAAAGTCTTTTACAAAAAGTCATCTTAGATCAACAGAAGACCAATCTTCAATGTCGTCCTACCAAGATGGGTTACTTTAACATCTCCTCCTAAAAACAAAAACAAAATCACAATTAGATTTGTGCAATTCTGACAAGCTTTCAAAGGTCCACTTTCATGAATTGTTTTAAGTCCTCACTTTATTCTTTTCTTCAATAATTAAAGATCACATACATATTCATTGACAAAAAGAGTTTGGGTAGTTAATAAACTCACGCTGACATTCCCAAATGAAATGAAATTCAAATCTATTCAGCAGAGAATTTGGGAATATAATCTTCCCATACACAGGTTAGTGATTAATTAAGGTCTACTAGAAACACCTCTAGTATACCAAGTAAAATGCTATTATATAAGCACGAATTTCTAATTGGTTTATCACATTGCAAGGAAAGAAATGGCTTTGTGCATATGATCTTTAATTTATATCCCAGATTTAAAAGTTCTTGTTTTGGTTTGTAGATTTCACTATTAGCTATAAAAAGAAAAAGCAAGCATTAAATCTTAAAAGAATGAACACTTAAAATGAGGCTCCACAATTGAAATACAACACACTAAACAGAAGACCAAAATGATTAAGCTGTAAAAAGGCATTTATGTACTTTAACTCCTGTAAAAAACCATTTAAGTTAAGTTTAGACACTTAATCTTCAAAAAGATTAAAAAAAGAAGCCAAAGTCTGAAGTTTTCCACTTTAATCTTTACGCTGGTACATGAAGTTGGAAGAGACCATACCACAGGACAGCGTTTTCTGGTGTATGCCTTGCGCTCTGCCCGCAACGTGCGACCCCCAGAGATAGACGTGGTCAGGGTGACACACGGCCTGCAATGAAGTTCCCGCTGGCGGGTACAAACAAGGTATAATGTCAGAGTTAGAAGACAACATTCTTGTTTTCCTTAAGTTGTACCCATTTCAGTACTTTACCTGTTAATAGTTCTAAAAAAGTTTAATTATTCCTCTAGATCACCTGGTACACAAAGCAAACAGAAAAACTCTTAAGTTTTTCTGCAATACTAAAGAAGGTGAGATCAGACTTTAAAGTTAAAGATCTATAGACACTTTAAGGCAAAACAGGTTCATCAAAGTTATTTAAAATTTAACAATCCAGTAAAAACAGGCTACATAATCTTTTGTTTTTACTTATTTTTCAATTTGTCTATTGATCTTTAAATTAAATTAAGACAGTTCTACTGGTTTCTTGTACTTATACACACCTGTTTTCTCCAATGTCCTCCTTAGTACGGCTGGTAATTGTTTTGGTGATTGCCACCTCCTCGAGATGCCTTGCCATACGTACTTTGTTGGCCTATTTTTCAAAAACAAACATTACATTAGGATAGCTTTCCTATGAAATGGTTTCATTACAAACATTTTAACACATGAAATTTTATTAATGTTTGCATGCAAATATCCAAATATTTTGAGCAATATCATATTGCTACAATTGCAAGCACCAACGTCTCAAAATTAAATCATTATCAAATACCACAAACACACTCCAAACACTTCAATAAATGAAGAAATCCACATTCAACTAAAATAATTTCAGAATGGGATGGCACTTTAACACTCAATTTTAATACCATTGGTGTATGAAATTAAGTTAAATATTCTTACCACTGTAGTCTGCATATCCCTGTCCATATCCATAGTTCCCATAGTTATACCCAGTATAATCATATCCGCCATAGCCACTATAGTTTTGATCACCACCATAGGCACTATTGTAATTTCCATATCCTTGATCATAATAGTTATTAAATCCTTGGTTCCAGTTTTGGCCCTGACCTGAAATGATGCACAATGGTTATTAGGAACAACCTCTGATCCCCAATTCGAATATGAAATGCGTTTTTCCCCTGGCTCTACAAATCTTGAAAGGCTACCTGCTTTTTTTTTTTTTTTGGGGGGGGGGGGGGGGGGCGGGGCCCTGAGGTATCACCAAAAAACAGTAACGAAATAGAGATAGAAAGTCTAATTGTGACAGTATCAAGCTTTCTAAATTTAATGGAAAATTAGGACAAACCTGAAGACAGGTAGGCTGCTCTGCTTCAAACAAAGACTCTTACTCAAAAAACCCTATCATGTATCAGTCATGTCATCTTTAAATTAACTGCTTACTTTCCTACCAGTGATGACACTAATCCGAAGTGTAGTCATTCTTTGCAAAGGCAAAAAGGTGGTTAAAACAAAACAAAAAGCCACGCAACTAAGCTGAGCATTTCTCCATGTTTAAACAGTTCTAAGCTTAACTCAGCAGTTCAACATTGTGATTTTCCAAGAACTAGGTCTCACCTCGTCCACGACCCCTAGTACCACCTCTCCCACCAGCTGCAGCACCTCTTCCTCCTTTCTGTTGTTGTTGCTGCTGCCTATATACCTCTTTGGGCTGTGCAACTTTGATTTCACACTATAAACAAACACACATTAACTTTATGCTGGAGTTCAAATTACTTTCAAATACTTAGAAATTATCTTTTGAGAAAGTGAAAACAAAATTTCAATTAATATTGTTACCTTCCCAGAACCAATTTGATGATATCTGCTTTCTAATAATTTCTTTACTGGCTCTTCATCTGTATATGTGATAAAACAAAATCCTCGTCTTTCATTTGTTTTTGTATCCATGGGAAGTTCAATATTTTCAATCTGAAATAAAGATGTATGCTTCAGATCATCTAATAATGTTAAAAGAAACTAAGCTACTAAAAGTTAAATGTTTTAGGAAAGCCTCCAGTCTTTTCAAGCTTCATCACAAAATGTTATTTTAGTCAGGTGATTTCTATACAGAAACCACTGCTTTATTTTACCAATCAATAGTGATATGATGCATGTGTCAAACACTGAGGTGAAGAGAGCAAACCTTCATTCTAACATTTCTCTAGTTTTTTAACACCCAAACATCCATGTTGTGGCTAAGATAACTTAGACAATGTAATTTCCATCACAGCATAAAAAGCAACAACGGACAGTCACTGGAAGGGACTCCATGTGTCAACATAAACCCTACCTCTCCAAATGCACCAAAATATTCTTTAATTTGTTCTTCAGAAGTATCTGGACTCAATCCACCCACAAAAACCTTTTTTGGGGGTTCCTTCCCTT